TCCATGCTTCTTATACCCTACTTTGTTACAGGTAGACCTAATTCGTCCTTTAATTAAAACACCATCACCATTGGCTAATTAAGAAACCACCCTTTGGTAAACAAATCTCCATAAGACATTCCACATGTTCACAACATCAGGGACAGCAAGTTAAGATAAAAATTGTTTAGAATTCCTTCTCTCCAGTTCCCCTAAAGCTTCCCAGGTCGATTCCGGGAAAACTTATCTAGCTTCTGTCTCTCTGACCAGGGAGCTGCTACTACAGAAGGAGGTTTTATTTCACTAAATGTAAGGAAACTAAAACAAGGATTACTGAGAAAATATGAATGAGGACTTGCTTTTAAGACAGAACCTAGCTGTTTCCCGTCCCTTGTTCAAATAAACTGTATAGCCACACTAAAACACTGAATCATCACCACGGCATCTGTTACAGCATAAGAGGATCATTATATACCGCAGGAAAGCTTTAACAGATCAAGCTTTAGCTACCTACAAGAACTAAAGCTATAGGAAGGGGGCTACATTCTTACCCTTAGGTGCTGGGCAATGGGGAATCAGCCAAGTCAGAGAACTTGCTAAAGAATAATTAATTCTCTTATGAAATGTTTCCAGGTGGTCTCAGTGTCTTCTCTCTCCTCGGGTAGCTGTCCTATGCAGAAGAATCAGTGTGTGCATGCTAGTGTTGTGAACTGCTGTGTTATAAATGCCATCCTCCTGTACAGCCAATATTAGAAATCCTTCTGCATGAAGTCCAATCCTTTTGCAGTCCATTTTGCTACCTCCCAAGGAGCAGATTCAGTCCTTCCTCCTCTTTTTGCTCTGATGCTCGTGTTCCTTAGGGCAGCTGCTGCCTGATGGCTGTTTAGAACCGCCGTGTTGCTTGGCTTCTTCCAGAAACTTGTCCAAACCAAATGGATCCTCCTCAAATTGAACTGGTCCATCTCTGCCTCTGCTTCTGCTGTTACGATCCAAGTTAGAAAACTCTTTGTCAGGAACAAACCTCTTGATCTTTATTTGAGCCTCTAGATCATCACCATACGTGTCCTTATCCATATTTTTACTTGGCCTGTAGATGTTTTGGGCCATATCCTTGCCACTTCTCCATGGCTGGTCATACACATTATAAATTTCATCGTCTCCTCCAGCAAAGCCACTGTCCATACCCTTGCTCTGGTTGAACAGCCTCTGGTCATATTGGATTTCATTGGATGGCCTGCGGTTGGGTACCCCCAGGGCAATAACTTCACTGATATCTCTGTTCTCATTCCTTTGCAGCTTTGACCTTTTATCAGGAGCTGCCCGGGAAAGATTTCTGTCATGCTGTCTCTCTTTGCGCCGGTCACGTCTGATTTCATCTCTTTCTCTAGCTGCTCCATCCTCTTTTTCAACATTTGTTTTGATCCCTGCTCTTCTCTCCCTGGCTTTCTGAGCCATTTCTCTGAGCTTGTCCTCGTGTTTCTCCTTTTCTTTCTGAGCCATCTTCCTCTCCACCTGGGCACGCATCTCTACTGCCTCACGAGCCTTTCTGTCAGCAATATAGAGCGCCTCAGCAAGTT